TTAACTGGTTTTATATATTCTAATTAAAGTTTTAAGAGATATCGCATTCACATATGATATGAGAAATTGGGCATACCATACAGTGCAACAATTTTAGTGAATTAGATACACCTGATGATGGCCATTTATGGCCAAAACATGTCGCAAGAAGGGAAAGAGATGATAATGCGTTGCATTGTAGATGGAAATATATTGTATAAAATAGATAGATTTGTCTTATCACCACACTGTCAGACTATGCCTTAAGCTGTTTATGAAACCTCTGACACTGTCTGGGGGAATTTTTCATTTACTGGTATTGCAGTATCTTCTGCATATCCTGTTGTACTGCAGACATTATCACTGAGGTCCCCCAAAAGTTCATCCGCAACCAGGCTCAACAGTAGAGGCAAAAGCGCACCTCCCTGTACACATCCCCTTGTCATGGATCCCCTCAAGGTTTCTCGCAACAATGTAATTATTATATTCCTGATTTCCAGCATGGAGCAGATCCACCTGCAAGTGGTGGGCTCACTGCCATACCAAGCATGGCTTCTCGCATTTTCCTCATGTTCAGTAGCACTTTAGTTTTCATGCAGTGTACACCTTCAATACGTCATTCTCCATAATATATCTGTCCACCACTTTCAAGAAGGAAGATGACAGGCTGATAGGACAATAAGCCTTAGCATTAGTACAGTCAGATATCCAAGGCCTTGCTGGAAACTTCACTTCCACTTACTCCCAGATTGTAGGAATATATCCATATGCCATATGAGCTTTAAAGATGGAACACATGTGGGATTGGATGTTCCATTCCTTGCTGCAAAAATGTTGATACGTCTCATCTGTTCTGATTAAAATAGTTTTAAGGTGCATAATAGCCATCTAGTCTTGGATTGATTATATTCCTGGTGAAGTTGCAGTCCCCTTATGCATTTTGCTTCTGCATATATCCAGATCAGCTGTCCTTGCCTGTTATCTGAATTATCAGTGAACTTGAAGTTTGTAAATTGGACTCTGAACAGCTGTTTTAGAGTTTATCCTCTTATCTGAGTGTAATGACGATTAGGCAACTTAATAGTGCTTGCTATGACCTTCATTGAGTCTGGCACAATCTGGTACATTAGAGATCCCCAAGCAGTTCCTCCTTCATGAGGACTGTTTGGCTTTCTTAATTTCTTTATTGTAACAGGTGAGGTCCTCCTTATAGATGTCCCAGCATCCTGTCCTCTTAGCTACACTGAACACTCAGTTCACTCCACTGTATGCCACCAAGGTACATACTTGGCCGCGCCGTAGCTCAAGTGGTTAGTCGCTGGCTTCCTATTGTGGCAGCCCGGGTTTGATCCTCGGTCTGGTCAAATGGGATTTGTGGTGGACAAAGTGTGTGCTGGGGCAGGTTTCCTCCGAGTACTTCGGTTTCCCCTGCCAATCTTCATTCCACCAATTGCTCCACAATCACCCTCACCTATCACCTGGGGCTGGTAAAATAGGCCAGAAGTGGCTGCAGTACAAGGGACTTAGTCCCACCCCACTAGCAATTAAAAAAAAGGTACATACTTTCTTCAGCGAGCAAGTGGTCCTGGATGGACAGTTACTGTAATAGGACAAGATGATGGCTTGTTACAGCTGATGTCCCATATCATGCTAATTTTCCATGACATGGTCTCAAGATTTGCCTTTCTGTCATCCTTATATGGCTCCCAGTTTGTTATTTTGGGATCCCTAAAAGTAACTACAGTTATAGCTATGTTACCCCATGATTTATTTAAACCGTCTTGCAGTGCATACACTCATTTATCTCCTTCTCTCCCTCGCACTACATGTTTCGGCATAACAATGCCATCTTCAGGTGCTTACTTATCCACGCCAAACCAGTTCATTGCATGCCTTGTTCTCATATTAAAATAACCAAAATACGTATCTATCATATACATTGTCAAACGTTAAAAATATTAAAATTGTTCAGGATACCACATCGCTACGTCGCCCCTCACTACGCCAGTCACGCCCATTCTCCTCTGGGAGCACTCCTTCACTGTCTTGTGTGTGTTGTGCTTTTGTTATGTCTTGCTCCTCTGACTGCGTGTGTTATACTGTTGGGCCTCCTGAAGGTGTCCATTTTTAGGTTAAATGAATATAATGTGTAGGTCACAATGGCCGCTCCGTCTAAGGCACAAAATGTGCCTTATATTCATTTAACCTAAAAATGGACACCTTCAGGAGGCCCAACAGTATAACACACGCAGTCAGAGGAGCAAGACATAACAAAAGCACAACACACACAAGACAGTGAAGGAGTGCTCCAACAGAGGAGAATGGGCGTGACTGGCGTAGTGAGGGGCGACGTAGCGATGTGGTATCCTGAACAATTTTAATATTTTTAACGTTTGACAATGTATATGATAGATACGTATTTTGGTTATTTTAATATGAGAACAAGGCATGCAATGAACTGGTTTGGCGTGGATAAGTAAGCACCTGAAGATGGCATTGTTATGCCGAAACATGTAGTGCGAGGGAGAGAAGGAGATAAATGAGTGTATGCACTGCAAGATGGTTTAAATAAATCATGGACTTAAATCAGTGCAACAGGACGCTAAAATATAACATTATGTTACCCCTTTGAAATTATGTGTGCCTGTGGTCTGACAAGTTTCACCTGATGCATGTCTGTTACTTACCAGGTGTCCAGTTTCGTTGGTCTCCAATGTCAAATCAGACCCATCTAAGTAACTTCATGGTTTTACATTCTACAAGATATTAATCATAACAATGTCATTAGTTCTGCAAATAGACATGAATAATGATTTATTTTTATATTCAAGAGAGATGAGGAAGTGGGGAATAGAAAATATTGCATAATGTACAGTTTTATGATTCAAGAGAATTTATCGATTGAAGTCATTCCTAAAATGTGTTGAAAATTTTTCAGAATAGTTAGAAAAAAGAGATTTGATGATGAAGGGCCCAACATTTAAGCAAGTTGCACATGACACTAGTAAATTTAAACACAAATTGAGAAAGTTTCTAACAGAAATATATTTTTGTTCTGTTGATGAGTATCTCAACAGGAATAATAAATTTCATCTTGGGGGATCTCAGTAATTGTAGCTCTGTATTTTAGTTTACAATCATTAGTTTCGTATATATATATTTTAATTGTTATTTATCTTATGTTAAGACAATCATATGTACTATATCAGTGTAGTCTACTGACAACTTCTATATCCAGTGGTTATGTACCTGAATGGATCTATTACTGATAATAAAAATAAATAAACATATAAGCCACTGAAACAGTATTTTTTTTTAATTCATTTAATAAGTGTAGTTTTTGTTAGTTGACTTTCAAACAACCTCTTCTCACAAAAGAAAAAAATTCTAGATACTTTTGTATCCATTGTATGCTAGCATGATCAACCACTTTTCTCCCAACAGAAAACATTTTCAACAAAATTCCCATTTCAGAATTGGGAACATGAAGAAAATGGAAACAAATTCTTCAACCACAGTTCAGAACAAGCTGTGTAGATTCCAAGGGAAATGCCAGAACCCCTTGGACAGGATGACTGGCCATGTAATTGTATCCTGGGACCCTGCTGAGTGAGACATTAAATTTGTAGTTCCCAATTGAGGTTAAATAAGTGGAGAAACTGGATACTGAAGAAATGTACAGTTGATCATAGCCCTGACTTCACCATAACAATATTTTTCTTTTCCTTGGCACTACAGCCCTAGTGGGCCTAGGCCTACCTCCATGAACTTCTCCGTTCACTTCGGTTTTTCTACATCTTACACATTTGTTAGGTCTCCTTGGGCGGGTGATCAGCTCGTCGCAAGGCCTCTACCTGTACACAAACACAGAAAAACACACACACACAAACTAAACATCCATGCCCTGAGTGGGATTCGAACCCATGATCCCAGCTTCCGAGCGAGCGAAGACAGTACATGCCTTAGACTACTCGGCTACCATGACCGGCACAACAGTATTAGATATCACAAATTTTTCATCTGTTATATTGATCATCATCACATTTTAAGCCATTATGTTTTCATCTTTAGTACAATGTTTGTGAAATATTTTATTACTAAATAATCATCTGGTAACAAGGAATGGATACAAATGACCACAGTCTTTAATTACTTAAGATAGTGTGATAGTCGGCCTGGAAGCTGCGCTCATTAATGCATTGAACTGATTAACCTTGTAAAGGGTATGAACAGAAGTTTGAACCCCAGACCATATCCCTTGAGAAAATGAAATGTAATGCACCTACAATTTCCCAGAGTATAATTCACTGCATATCTGTTTGACATTCATGCTTTGTAACATTCTTTCTTGACATTCATTAAAATGAGGTCTGCATTTATTTCTGAAGCATTTACTAGATTTACTAAGTTACTGGTTAGTATATAAATAGATTTCCAATGTGAGGTATTAAGGAGGACTGCATATTCTTAAATGTTATGAACATTATGTTGTTTACATGTTATTGATTGATTGATTGATTGATTGATTGATTGATTTAACATCCATAACTGTTACATTATGTACAATTGGACTAGTCAGTTACACCAATAACAAAAGACAATGGGAACTAATAGACACTAACATAAAACTAAATCTAACAATACTTCTCAACATTCTCAAATAAATGTATTACTGGTAGGACAGAAGAAATAACATGTACATTAAAAATATATTAAAATGATTAATTAAAGTAATGTGAAATTATTTATTTAAAAAGTCCTTCCATTGTTGAAAATGTTTATCGTACTTTTTGTGCTACAAAGATCTCATATGAAAGTATACATTCACACTATGATTATTTGCAAAAATAAATTAACGTATTCAATTTTTCAATTTAAAAACGTGAGTTAACGCTGCTTGCTGAGTAATGAGCCCTGTTAACTTTATGCAGGAACTGAGAAGAATCATGGAAGCCAGATTTCAAACCACACAGTTCTCAAACATAATAATAGCTACACTGTGATGATTTCTCTGTTTACAGGTCCTCTTCTGGCAACAGTGGTAATATCACTAACTGGGCAGATACTAAAAGCAGTATCACCAAAGTTTGGCAGCCTAGTGGCAGAGGAGGCAAACAGGAAAGGTTACCTGCGACACATCCATGCCCGGATTATTACAAATGCAGAGGAGATTGCGTTCTATGGTGGCCAAAAGGTATTAATTAGTTCTACATCATTAAGACCTCAGTACCTGTAGCAGTCACTGTTACTGCATCTCTGAATAATTGATAGTAGCTTTTATTTGACTGCCTTTGTGGTCTAGTCGTCAGCATTCCTGGCTACGGATCCAGAGACCCGGGTTCGATTCCCGGCACTACCAGAATTTTTCGGAGAAGTAGTGGCTCTGAAATGGGGTCCGCTCAGCATCGTGATGATAACTGAGGAGCTATTTCAAGGAAATAGTGGCTCCGGTCTAGAAAACCGAAATTAAGAGCTGTGGGGATTCGTTGCACTGACCACATGACACCCCCTATCCGCAAAAGTGGGCACTAAACTTCGGTTGGTATGGTTCGCTTGCAGACTGAAATCACGGAGCTTTTATAATTTAAATTGTACATTTTTTTTTGTGTATGTATATTGCCATCACTTCTACTTAAAAAAAAGTGAGCTTGTGTAGAGTTCTGGGGTCATATTATGAAAACATTTGAGCTCTTTTTCCAAGTTCTGCAATTCAGAAGTTACATTTACTGTAGTAAAGGTTATTTAACTTTTCTAGGTTTACTGAGCAATTCGGCTCTTTATCATTTAGTTTCTTCAAGTGATAACTTCTTACTCAGAGAAGACCTGAGTTTCAGTGGAGCAGTTCTGTACAGTAATGGCAGTATAGTTTCAAACATGGCCATGAAATAAGTAATAGGATGGTTTGAAGTCATTCCTCATTTAACATTTCACTTCAAGTGCTTACAAACAGACAGTATTTTTATCAGTTTTGAGAATGGCTTCTGTACTTTCAAATCATTGCATTTAAATTGTACATAGATTATTGAACTTATAAAATCATTTTCAAATACTGCGCTCATTAACGTTTTCAAGAAATGTGATGTCAGAAATACACACATGCACACACCAAGAGCGTATTAAATGCACTAAATACAATCCCCACTTCAGCACAGTACATGCCTGGAAATCATAAGTCAGACTCTGTTTTCACATACACAAAGTTTTACAAATGGCGGTTACATTCCCAATAATAGGTTACACAATAAATTTTTCCTAAAAACTTACAAATATTTATTTTACTATAGTCTTTTTGTTTCTAGCAAAGAGATACATTTTGTTACCACTTTTGATGTCGTTATTTCTGGTTCTTATTTTACTCGTAGGTCAAGACGGACAAGTGTTTAAGTAAGTCATTATTTTCCTACTGGGTCATGCGGTTTCGTAGTTGGTTGAGGCACTATGCTACAAGCTGGAAGGTCGCATGTTCCGTTCCTGATGAGGTCATTGGATTTTTCAATTTACCTAATCATTCTAGCCAAACTATGGCCATGGGGTCGACTCAGCCTCTAACAGAAATGAATGCCAGGAATCTTCCTGGGTGGAGGGGATAAAGGGTGGCTGGCACGTTAGGATGACAAGCTTACCGCCATCTGTGAGCCAATTGACTAGAAAATATGGGAGCCTCAACCTCTCACAACCCTATGGGCGTACACAGCCTGTTACAGGGATAGCTTTACCTTTAATATAAAGTTATAAAGTATGGAATTTAATGAAGTATGGACTGAGTATTAACCATTCTATGCCCTGTACCATGTTACATGTGCTATTATAACATCAGTCTTGAACATACTATACAGTGTTTACTGAATACATGTTTAGTTGTGCAGCTATGTTTCAACATGCATCACAGTTTCTTTCAAGTATTTGGGGATTTCTTGCTAACATTCAATTAGCTTCCTGTTTACTGTTGTTTCCAGTGGGTATGAAAGTCTTTGTCTCCCCCTAAGGAAATAACAAGGATTGAGGATATTTGAGAATAGGGTTCTAAGGAAAATATTTGGACCAAAAAGGGGTGAAGTAACAAGGTGGAGAAAACTGCACAATTAAGAACTTAACTTGCACTTGTCACCATATATTATTAGTGTAACCAATTTAATGGTGTGCCACGTAACATGCATGGCGGAGATGAAAAATTCATGTAAAATTTATGTGAGGAAACCTGAAAAGACCATAAGAGTCCTAAGCTGGATGAGTGGCAGTGGCAGATATTCTTCTGTTTTTGTTGGAGCCTCTTTGGTTTTGAAGGGTACATATTCTCCTATCCAACGATTAAATCAGCCATGAAGATTATGTATTATTGAATGAAAGCTGTGGTGGCAGTTTTGAATGGTGAAAGGAAAAGGGAAGAAGAAGCTGCAATCTTGATCTAATTCTAAATAATATTCTAGATTTCATCTAGAGAGACTTACAGAAAACTTCTGGTGGGATGGACAGGATAGCTTCTTGAAACAGGAGTAAATGTTGATTTGTTGCGTACCTTTAATGATAATGCTGTATTATCTGCATGACTTATATATCATTAAAAAAGAGTGCATAATAATTAAAATCAAATATGTGTTGTTTATTTAATGATACTTTCAGTAATGCAGATTATATAATGTTGAGTGATAGGATGGTAGGTAAAGGATGTGAAGAGAAGTGGTCATGAGCTAATTTGAGATACTATCCAACCATTTTCCTGGAGGGACTGAATAAAATCGCAACTGCTGTTAATCAGAATAGCCAGGCTTCAGACTAAGATTTGAACATAAGGCACGCCAAATATAAAGAATGTCTGTGAACCATTGAACCACGCCACTAGATGTAATTCTTTCATCAGTTAAGCAAAGATGATATGGCATTGAAGAGTTCTGTATTCTGGGATATAACACCATGTAGTCTGTTGAAAGTCAGCTGACGTTTTGGGGGAACATACTGCCTCCATGTTCAGGGTCGAATAAGCTGAGCAAGATACCAGTGTGAAATTAGATGGCAAGCCAAGTAATCGGCTGGCCAGAAATTTTGGATTATGCAGGAAACAGGAGTGAATTGGTTGAGTGGGCTTCAGTTGCCATTGGCTCGCCATGGGATAGAATGAAATCACTGGTCTCTCACACAACCACCAAGAAAACCAATAGGAGCCAAGAATATGAGTATATGACGTGCCCTGAAAATGGACGTTTTTGCTGGTCTAGGAAAAGAGCGAGGGTGTGCTGGGCAAGGAAATGATATATGAGGGACAGAGGTCAAGTGAGTGAGTTGCAGGTATGCTGTGAGGGGATTAGAGAGCAGAGGTAGCAGAAGGAAGCTGGGACATCAGGATGGTGGCTGGTGAGTGCTGTCTTGGCACAACATCAAGTCTGTGGTCTCCCTCCGAGGAAAATCTCCAGTTTCCTTTCTGGGACTGAAGACTCCAGGAGTGTACAGGAACTCCTGTGAGTGTGGTCAGGTATACATTGGGCAGACAGGCCTTTTGATTGACACCAGGTTGAAGCAGTACCTGCGACATATTTGTCTAGAACATCCAGGAAAGTCAGCTGTAGCTGTGCACAGTATCAACTTGGGGCATCGCATCCAGCTACAGCACACCTCGACCCTCGCCACCAAACTCACATATGTGGATCACATCATCAGGGAGGCAATTGAGATTGAGCTCCATCCCAACATTATGAAGAGGCAGGATGGCTTCTGTCTGAATAGGCCATGGAAACCTCTCATCTGGTCCCTGAAAGAACACAGGAAGCCTCCATCACATGACAGCAGATCTGGGTTCTCCATGGGATCATGCAGGTCCATGCACACTGCTCTTATCAGGGCACAGAATATGCCCTCTCTGGGCACTCACTAGCCTTTACCCCAATGTCTTGACTTTCTTCTGCTACCTCAAATTCTACATGATATGTCACTGATTTTCAGGTTGAGTTGGGCCATCTAGAAAGGGCATATACTTCCCTCGTGGACCAGATGAACACCATATTCTCCCAACGCCTCTGGTATGTGATGTTGGAACAGTTCCTCATGAAATATGTATGGAGTGGTACTGGAATGATCATGGTCTCACTTCCCATCCTCACCAGCAGTCATCGTGAAGGTGAACAAACATTTTAAATCCTTTCTGCAAATTAGGTCAGAAAATTTGTATTACAGAGAACTAGTTGGAGGGTGTGCCAAGGCATTGGCTTTGTGCTGTGATGTAAGAAAATGCAGTCTATCATTTTGATTCTGTGTCTGCATACATATACAGTTTTGATTTTCTTTGAATGTCTGTGTAGTTCTTTATATCCCCCCATGTGTTGATGTTTCAAGAAAAGTAATTTATTTTCTCTTATTGTAGCAGCAAATTAATTCTTATCTTCTTCAGTATATTTGTTCCTAGTGATATTATGTCTATCTCAGCCCATGTAATTGACAGTACTTCATTTGATCATATTTCTGTTACATGTATAAAATACAGAATTATCCACGTAATGTGGCCCATGCAGTGGCATCCATTGGAATGTAAGCTTTCAGTTGCCAAATATGGGAAGTAATCTTCAATGTAACACTCATTTTCAGTTGCATGAACTGCCGGTAGTCCTATTGAACATTTGTCTGGTAAATTAATATATAATTATAAGTGGTATAACTGTATTTTCAGCATCCTGTTGAAAATCTTCAATTAAACGTCTATGTAGCCACAGTCCGTCAATAATGAAACAGTTGTTTATTCACCATTTAACACTTAACACAACACGTTTCGGCCTTAAGTGGCCATCTTCAGGTGTCTTAATGCATCCAAGCTTTTGCATTGCTCTGATGTACGCTAAAACTGGGTGTAGCAGTCCACTGAAAAATAACGTAAATACTTAAAATACATTAAAATTTTTTCATAAAATCCTATTCCACCTCATAATGGGTGTCGTCCACTTCTTTGGAGCTATGTGATATTCCAAAAGGTTTGTAACTTGATGTGACACAGAAATTCTTAACGATGTTTATATGAATATAATTACTAATATGGATCCATATTAGGACACAATCCAATAATAAGAGCTGTTATCATGAAAACTGCCTAATGATGATCCAACTGGGTCAGAACATGTGGCAGATACAGAATAATAAATGAATGGTAATTCAGTAATATTGGTTTATTTATTTGGAGTTTGTTGTGTTGATGGCTATATAATAATATCACATAGTGATACACAACAGGATGCATACAACAAAGATAAAATGTTAACCCCATGAGGAAAGAGCTGCATATTTCCGACTTTTAGAATTTACTTCTTCCCAGTACATTGGTCAGTAATGGCAAAAGTGCAAACTAAAATTATTGCCATTGTGGAAATTTTGGAATTATTTTTAACTGGCAGCTATAGTGTGGCCACTAGAAGATCTTGAAGGAAAATGTTTTGTATTATAGCTCACATATGTGCTCTCTTCAAAGCGTATGTGGAAGAATGGGCTTGGAAGGCTATAGGAGATAGATTACATCGATCATAATAGGAAAATTAGGGGCAGAAAGCAAAAGACAGGTATAGGAAAATTCCTTTGTAAATAGGACCATCCATCTCTGGAACCACCTACCTGCAGATGCTTTAGGGACTCTCCTGTAAATCAAGTAATTTTAGGAAAAGTCTTAGGAAAGTAATAAATAAGGTGAAGTGAAGGTGTAGGAGAAATCATCCGAAAAGGCAGTGAAGTGAAGTGAAGTGAAGTGAAGTGGGATAAAAGAAAGACATGGTGAAATGTGGGCGCATCAGAACATGACATTACACATTCCAGTACTATTACTGTTTAGTGTATAGTATCCTTAATCTTTTATTAATATTAATTTATATAATTGTAGTTGTAATTGTATTTTCATTGTATTTACTGTGTGCTAGTGTATCCTTTGCTGTTTTTGTAGTTTTGTGTGCTGTGTTTTGTTTGAGTGTGGTGTGTTATTTTGTGTGATGCGTATATTTGTGAGTTGTGTCTTATTGTAGTGCCACTGCCACCAGGCAAAATCCCATTTGCAGTTTAAATAAATAAATAAACAAATAAATAATAATACCTCTAGTTCTTAATTCACATAAGGTGCTATGAAAGAATCATGACCCATGAAATAATGAGCTATGTTTAATTTGAAGGAGTTTCAATATGTTGCAGAAATTATGTTTAACATTTTAATATCATGACCAGGTCTCATATTTTTTATTCTTGTTTCAACTGGCGTTGATATTTGCCTCCACAGACTAATACCCATAAAATAGAAGTGTAAAAATGCCATTTTATTATGGATCATTTCAGTAAGATATATGATGTGCTTGTTCTAGAACATGATTCCTCACCAGATGGTGGAGTGAGTGAGAGAACGCAGTACTTCACAACGGCAAGAAATCTCCTAAGCTCAGGGGCTGATGCTGTTGAAAGACTCATGTCTTCATATAAGGTAGTGATCTTTTCTCCATCTAAGTGCCTTGCCTGAAGATGGCCCTGTGTGGCTGAAATATGTAGCATAAACACTGAATGTACATATATTTAGTAATTTAATGACATTTTAAACATTTAATGGACATTTAGTGAATTAAATGCAAATTAATGTTGTTAAATTAATATTATTGCATTATACGAGGGTTGGAACTTTAATAGTGGCAACACTGCTGTAGAGACGCCATACAACGGAACAAAATGATGTCGCTTATACCACATGTTAGTTACATACCTACCTTACCTCAGAGCAAATGTACTCTCCCTTCCCACATCACGTGCATGCACAGTGACGAGAAGAACAGAGACTCGTGTTAGCTGGCGGTCTAATGTAGTGTTGTCACGATGTTTTAGAAACAGGAACAACGGAGTTGGATAAAGATTGAATGTGCCAGAGGCCGTACAGCACAACAGTGTCATCAAGGTGTTCAAGAGGCTTGCAGGAAATCTGCATTGCCTTACAGAACAGTGGCAAGGTGGGTAAAAGCCTTCAACAAGGGACAATGCAGGAGAATGCTTGGCCGCATGCAGCGCAAGCTGTGGCTGATTTGTTCGATCGATGGGGCTGGGAAGTGCTGTACCATCCACCATACTCCCCGGACTTAAGCCCTTGTGACTTCGACTTGATTCCTAAGATGAAGGAACCACTTTGTGGCATTCGCTTCAGAACTGTTCCAGAGATTCTTCAGGCAGTAGACCGCTCCATTCGAACTATCACCACAATAGGCGTTGCTAAAGGTATCCTACGACTTCCATATCGCTGGCAACGGGTCGTACACAATGCTGGTGACTACATTGAAGGGCAGTAAAACTTCGAAACATGCGTCTGTTTTGTATCGGTTGTAAATAAATAGTTGCCACTATTAAAGTTCCAACACTCATAGATGGAAAACAAGACCATAAGTTATACTTCAGTGCAAAATAAGAAACTCTGTGGCTTGAGTCCGCAATCGAACTGTACCAACCTAGTGACCGCTGCTTGTCGGGGAAGTTAATGCCAACTTTAGCGGATAGAGGGTGTCACTTAGCCAGTGCAACGAATCCCCATGGCCGTTAATTTCGGTTTTCTAGACTGGAGACTCTGTTTCCTTGAAATAGCTCCTCAGTTATCCTCATGAGGCCAAATGGACCCTGTTCTGGACCCACTATTTCTCAGAAAATCTGGTAGCGCCGGGAATCTGTAGCTAGGAACTCTGATCACTAGACCACAGAGGAGGTCGCCTCAATGGAACAGGATGCTAAAATATAATATTAGAATTACCATATTCTTTTATCTAGATTACCCTGGGTTAAATGAGATTTTTATGTGTTCTAGGAGATTGTTGAACTGGCCGGTTATACTTCACGGGTAGGAGACATGTTAGACGTTTTTGAAGATGCAAGCCATGGGAAATACCAGCGTACTGTTGTGACAACTTCAGAATCTAAACATTCATCTAAAAACAGTACCTTCAGAATGGAGTTCAAGAATGGACAGCCTGTCGTGAAAGGTAATGCTGACAAATGTCAGTATAGTACCTTCATTGCTTTTTGTACATACTTGTTCCTGATTTGAGTTTTACTTACCTTTCACTTTATTGAATACAACTGTTAACCCGTTGCCGTGGTTCGTCGTGTGTGTTTCGTCAGGGATTTAAATCGTCTGGGGGGGTTCGACGTGTATGTTTCGTCCAGCTGCACACGTATGTTATAACGCCCATAATAATTGATGGTTTTGCTGTAGATTGTTAGATTTTTCACTGGCCTGTTGTNCATATTATAAGGTAAGGTTATAAAACCACCATTTAAGATCATTTTAGTGAAAGTTTCATCCTTCAAGGCGTACCATTCACTGCTGAAATACTAAACAACCTGCTTCCATGGCCGAGATACAGGGCGCCCATATTATAAGGTAAGGTTATAAAACCACCATTTAAGATCATTTTAGTGAAAGTTTCATGTTCCTATCTCATAGAATTTAAGAACAATGATGAATAAATAATTTTCGAGCAAAATTTAAATGGCCGGCTGAATATATTACCGCAGGAGCCGCGGCCGCGGAATTTAAATGACCACGTCAAAGGGTTAATAAATCCATAATTCCTGTTTTCTCATGTTGTATAACCCTACAACAAACATTCATGTTGTAATCGCGAGGCAGGAGAACTTAGTTAATGTTGAAAGTGGTTAATGTTTTCAGACTTATATCTGCCAACACTCCTCTTGTTCACTTCTGTGATAATCTCAAACTCAACATTGTACGAGTAGATTATCCCTTTTTATTATACTTTTAGTGTAATGCTTCCGGAAACAGCAGTAAACTAACCATCAAAGAAATTGTTGTACACACATGTTAATTTTGTCCCTTGGGTGTTTTATGTTTTGAAGAGTGCTTACTTTGGATGCTAGCCTTCCTCGTTTTTGCACTCTTTTCAATTTCCTTTCTTGTGACCTTATAACCACCCTTCACTTATCTTCTCTTCCCCTTTGTTGGTTAGCCACACGTTCATCGCCCCTTTCTTCTTTCTTCTTCTTGGGTTGGGCGCCAGTAAGCTCAGCTAGTGTCAGCTTACAATAATCATAGGTTTAATTTGGAAAGGGGGTGAAGGTGATAGTTAACTAGTTCAGCTGTGGGTAAAGCTAAGATCCTTCTCAAAGCGCTCAATAGGTCCTCGCTCAGGATGGGGGGGAGTAGTTGGTTTGATGCTACTTTGCACTTAAACACTGTGATCATTTATTGGTATTAATTTTCCTTCACCTGATAACACACACAGTCAATACAAAGGATGCTTATATATAAGTCCTCATATAGCTCAGTCCTGGTACAACAGAAGTTATCAGGACAATTTACACTTTAGCCCTTTGAATTTAGGGTTTGTCCTGAACAGCAGTGACACAAATTTTGCTTCTAAACTGTTCACGAGTTAGCAGACCACTCACTTGGCGACTGACCTCTGAAAACACTGAGGTCCCTTGGTCGTCAGTTCCTCAGCTAAGTTGTTCCCCCTTAATTCCACTGATTGACTAATTTTGAAAACTAGGAGTTCACACAATTTTTGGATCTCCAATCAGCTAGCTGTAGTTTGGGACTTTGAACCTTTAAGTTCTCACGTCGTTTTTGACAGAACACTGATGGATAACCCACTTGGCGAGGGTCTCAAGAATGCCTACTTTTAAGTTACGAGGTGCTGGGCCTGTCAGTGATTGAATTTTCAAAGTTTGCCGCCGTGCTACTTGAAAAAAAAATTTCCAAAAAAAAAAAAAAAAAAAGCCACAGGTCATTCCTGCATAACAGTAAGATTTGGAATAAGTCCATTCCTGCAAACAAGAAGGTGACTATGTCCCACTGGCTTGGTTTTACTTGTTATCTGCAATTAATTTTTGTACTGATGATTCTAATTATACTTAAAGTAGTGAGTGACAGTGGAGTGGTTACAACCTGTAGGTCGTGACTTCTACCTCACAAAGAACTTTGTCATTCCTCCCTATCAGCTCTTCTTTGCATCCAGTTATTTATAAGTGTTATATAGAAGAGAGTGACTAAGCTGCATCGTGTGCAGTGAGATTGTACAGTATTATGCAGATGATGTATTCCATCGTATAAATTCATATTTTCAGTCGTGATAACTTTAATGCTCTTTGGTAAAGCTGTATGTGAAGTGTTGAATGAATGTATAAGGTGTGGGCCTTCTCAGCCCTTGCACCGTGACCTACAGTGGTCTACTGTGCTTATGTGAAGTGTTAGGAGCATATGATATGGTAAGGTCAACTAACATGAGAAAATAATGGAAAAAGGTATTTTCAGATAATTAAATATGCTGAAGCTTGAATTTTAATAAGGAAATACTTCCTGCAGCTGAGTTAACTGACCTCTGTAACATACAGAAAGTTTGTACGTGATAGCTTAGTTGGTTGAGGGGCTATGCTACAAGCCGGAAGGTCACAGGTTCAAGTGCCGATGAGGTCATTGGATTTTTTTCAATTGCCCTAATCCTTTCAGCCGCACTATGGCCCTGGGGTCGACTCAGCCTCTAACAGAAATGAGTACCAGGAATTAATTAAATAATTTTCCTGGGGAGTAAAGTGTGGCCGGCGCGTAAGGCTGAGAAACTTACGCCATCTTTGAGCCGACTGTCTAGATAATGTGGGACCCTCAACGTCTCACAACCCTATGGGCATCCACGGCCTGGTACAGGGATAGCTTTACTTTTACATTTTACTTGTAAAATTCCATTGGTGATCTGGACTCAGTTATGGGGCATAGACCAACGTCCTGTGAGAACAAGGCCAAAGAGTAGAAACAAACAGGCATGAGGGTAAAGCAAAATTATTAATTCAGGAAATCAAAATAGTCAGTACCTGCTGTTTGATTTGAAGGTTTGCTTGTTTTATTGTTTGGAAGAGAGGGAAACATCAACAAAATATTATAAAGTACTCCATAGTTTCTTTTTTTATAATTCTGCAATTAGTTTTTGTATCAGTTTTAAAATTTGTCCTTTCTTATTTATATGTAGTAAACTACCAGATAATTTGACTCTTGTTTTGCATTATCCATGCTGTTCCTTCCCTCCAGTATCCCACATAATCAAGAGTCTATGTTGTACGCTAATTAAATTGTTCTCCTCTTTAATTTATGTTAATAAATATTTAGTTTCACGTTAGAGAAATTTAGATCCATTGACCCATATTTGTGGTTTAGAAAGTAAAAGTTATCATGTGCCTAGTTAAATATGAATTCTGAGAATAGCATTATTGTTCTTGTTGGTGATGGTGGTGGTGGTGGTGGTGGTGGGGTGAGACTGAGTCCACTCAGTACTGTGGCTGCTACTGGCCTATTGTACCAGCCCCAGATGTTAAGATGATGATTGTGGAGCAACTGGTGGAAACAAGATTAGCAGGGGAAACTGAAGTACTCGGAGAAAACTTGCCCCAGTGTCACCTTGTCCATCAGAAATCCCACATGACCTGACACAGGCTAGAACCTGGGCCGCTGTGGTGCGAAGCCAGCGACTCACCACCTGAGCTATGGTGTGCCCTTGAAAATAATTTAGTCATATACACCTTTTGTCTAACAGTGAGTGTCATTTGCTACTTGGCACGCAACTGAGTAGATATACTTGCAACATGAAGAAGGTGAGAATGGACACACAAAATGAATCATGGATTCATATGTTAATACAGATTGAAAGAAATGACAGTGCTAAAAGCTGGAAGGTCATAGGATCAAATCCCGATCAGGTGGATTTTTTCAGTTGACGTAATCCTTCCAGCCATACTATGGCCCTGGTGTCAACTCAGCCTCTAACAGAAATGAGTACCAGGAATCTTCCTGGGGAGGTAAAGGGTGAGTGGTGCGTAAGTCTGACAGCCTCATCTCCATTTGTGAGCTGAGGGTCTAGAAAATGTGGAAGCCTCGAAGTCTCCAAACCCTATGGGCCTCCACAGCCTGTTACAGGGATGCCTTTACTTTTTTACCAAGTTACAAGTATAATGAACTTTTAGCTCAGGTAGCATCAGCAAGATCAGAACAGTGTTAAAATCAATTAATGTGATGTCTAGCCTGGTACAGGATATTCTTGGAGCAGTCAGTAGACATTCCTCTGTTCAAGAAATTCCCTGCTGTTATGGAAATAGAAAGTTTATAACATCACTGCAAAAGCCCACATTTAACTTTTGTCTTTGGTCTTTTCAGTGAAATTCACGTTCCATAATATTATCTTCCCATACATCTTGAAGCTTCAAATATCTGACCATAAGAAAATCTGTCTGAAGTTCTGCTTGCATTTCTGGTTCCTCCCATGTGTGTTGCATGACACTGTTTCTGCCTATCTGATTTAATCACCATAAGAGTGTTTGTTATGTAACTGAACTGAAATTATTTGTTTCTCTTTTTTGTTAAGGTGTTGTTCGTGAGACAAGGGATGGAACTATAGTACTGGAGAATGTGCCAATTGTGACACCCAACTGTGATGTGGTTTGTCCTAACCTCACTCTCACAGTCACCCCTGGCATGCATCTGCTTATTACTGGACCCAATGGCTGCGGCAAATCATCTTTGTTTAGGATATTAAGTGGACTTTGGCCAGTTTACAGTGGGGAGATGAGGAAGCCGGCCAGTTCTGATATGTTTTACATTCCTCAGAGGTCAGTTCAGAGATGTAAGACATGGATTCATGATGTCAGTTCTCAGTACATTCAGTGACATGGGTTTTGCTGAGGTGCACGTCATGCTCACATGCATAATTTTAAGAAATGAAAATGTAAATAAATAAAATTGTCTTTTTTCACCTTGAAATTGATAATGGAGTATTTGTACGAGGAAACAGTGTGGCAGTTCAGATAATCAGTATAAATATTACTTTACATACCGCTTCAAATTCCAAGAAGAAATCAGTTGTATTTTTATTTTTTATTTATTCATTTATTTGTATTTATTTCTTGTGGAGAAAGGCTGATAAGAAGCATTGAGGACAGTATATTTGTTTTGATGGTGTTGTTGTTGTTAACGTGCCAGGCATGCTACAAGCCGTCTTTAAATCTTACCTCAGCTGCAAAAGCTGAGTGTTATGTGTACAGCAAGTATGTGTTCATGTCTGTGTGTGTATGTGAGAAAGAGCAACTGTGTATCTGGGAAAATTTTATGATTCTTACTCTTCTTCACTCACCTCCAGCTAGTGCCGAGGTCAAGAAAACGTGGATCTATAAATCCACTCCCACATATGCCTTCATGGTGTAGTGCTTGATTAGTTAAGCACAGGGATAACTTTACCTTTACCTTATTTTGTTTAGATTATTAGTCTGTATGAGGCTGGTCATGGTAGCCGAGCAGTCTAAGGCATGTACTGTCTTTGCTCACTTGGAAACCGGGATCGTGGGTTCGAATCCCACTCAGGGCATGGATGTTTAGTTTGTGTGTGTGCGTTTTTCTGTGTTTGTGTACAGGTAGAGGCCTTGTGACGAGCTGATCACCCGCCCAAGGAGTCCTACCAAATGTGTAAGATCTAGAAAAACTGAAGTGAACGGAGAAGTTCATGGAGGTAGGCCTAGGCCCACTGGGGCTGTAGTGCCAAGGGGGAAAAATAAAAATTAGTCTGTATGATGAGGCCATAAGAAACTGTGAATTAATAGTTAATCAGTTTAATATTCCTATGCCTTGTTTTCACTAGCACAGATTCAAACTTATGTTACATTTACTAGATACAGCCTCGAAGTCTTGTAGTTTAACACTGAAAATAATATTTCTATCAGCATTTGTAGAAAGGCTTATGATGTGGCTTGAAAAGAAAGAGAAGGGAATATTTACATACTTAGCCCCGGTGCTTTCTTCTTCTTTTTTAGTTTGTTATATTAATGACAGTTACAAAGACAAAAACAACACTGTCCAGTGTGGCTAGTTAAGTTTTATCACTTGAAAACTCATCACCCTTACATGTTTCGATCCCTACTGATCGTCCTCAGAGGACATCAATAATTTTTCCAGAAACTACTATTATAATAGGTGTTAAATTACATACATACACATATAACGTCCGAAATACACAAAGTGCACAATGTTCAACTTTTCACAGTCACAGCAGCCTTCCTGGTATTAAAATTTTTAAAGTTTTTTAAAAACTTTGTTGTTTAAGATTAAAATTTATAAACCATGCAGGTTCGTGTCAATTCTCCTAAGAATCTCCTTTCTCAAGATAGACAGGCGGCACATGATGAGCCACCTCCAAGAAAGACAATAGGAGAATTGACATGAACCTACATGTTTTATAAATTTTAATCTTAAACAACAAAGTTTTTAAAAAACTTTAAAAATTTTAATACCAGGAAGGCTGCTGTGACTGTGAAAAGTTGAACATTGTGCACTTTGTGTATTTCGGACGTTATATGTGTATGTATGTAATTTAACACCTATTATAATAGTAGTTTCCGGAAAAAGTATTGATGCCCTCTGAGGATGATCCGTAGGGATCGAAACATGTAAGGATGATGAGTTTTCAAGTGATAAAACTTAAATAGTCACACTGGATGGTGTTGTTTTTGTCTTTGTAATTGTTAGTGTGACGGACCAGAATGAAACAAATCAAATTAATGACACTGTCAGTATCAGGTCTGTATAGTGTCAATGACAGGATGATTAATGAATATGGAGCAGTTAGTGGAATGAGAATTGACAGGGAAAACCTGAAGCATTCAGAGAAAACATGCCCCCAGTGCCACATTTTTCCATCAGAAATCTCCCATGACCTGAACTGGGATCAAACCACAGTTTGAAGGTGACAACTAACTGCCTTTGCTATGGTATGTCTGCCCCCAGTGGATTTTCCCAGAAGATGTAGTTTAATTTTATTCTTATTTCTTTATTTCATAAGAGAGCCACAATAACTCAGTCAGTATAGTGACTGCCCGTGGGCTGGAGGTCCAAGGGATCGGAGTTCAAGTCCCGGTGGGGGGCAAGAATTTTCACTTCTCCATGTCGTTCAGACCAGCTCTGGGGCCCACCCAGCCTCATATTCAATGGGTACCAGGGGCTTTTTCCCCTGGGATAAAGCGGCCAGGGCGTGATGTTGACCACTCACCTCCAACTAGTGCCAAGATCAAGAAAATGTGGATCTATACATCCATTCCCCCATGCGCCTTCATTGCATAGTGCTTAATTAGTTAAATATGGGGACAACTTTACCTTTTTACCTTTATTTCTTATGTAAACTGTTTACTTATATACAGAACTGTATTATTTTGCTACCAGAAGCTGTGAGTTATGACATCTTGACAGTCCACTTGGCCTCTGGGAAGGCACATATTTTGAATTTTTTTTTTTCCTTTTAGTGAGACAGATAGCTAATATAATTGTAATTATTTTATTGGAGTCATTTTTTTACCTTGAGGTGAGGATGACCTGTTTTTCACACTATTCTATTACTGCATGCAAGTTAGGAGCTGTAAATAAATTTTTGTTCCGTTATGGTTCCTCACTTTGATAAATGCTCATTATTTTTTCACCTCTGTTCCTGCGATTTTCCTTTGCACACTTTTAAGATATAAAATATCTTATATCCTTCCAAATTGTCAAGTGGGTACACACCGTGTAGAACTTAATGTGTGTTTTCCAGACCATACATGTCATTGGGGTCTCTAGCAGATCAAGTGATCTACCCAGATACAGTGGCTGACATGAGGAGGAAAGGCATGACTCTGGGGCACCTGGAACGCTGCCTGAGGCTTGTACACCTTGATCATATTGTGGAACGTGAAGGCGGATGGCATGTAGCCACGGATTGGAAGGATGTCCTGTCTGGTGGTGAAAAGCAGCGCATGGCAATGGCCAGGCTCTTCTATCATAGGTCTGTTTCTTTGTTTCAAAGATAACCCCTCAAACCAGTAAATGTAGTGAAACAAATTGTAGGGTGCATACCATTCATTCATTCGTTATTGGAGGGGGTGGGTTTCCCCATGCACCGCGACCAGTTGTTGATCTATTGTATGTCCCCCTTTGATATTCTGCCAGTCGCCATACCCTTCCGGTACTGGTGCTTGCTATCAGCCCTGTTCAGCCAGCGAGTCCAGCTCCTCTACTGGCAGTGGTACCTGATACTTCCCCATCTACCGGAGGCATTGGACACTACTTGGGCAGGAAACTTTTTACCTAATTTTGCTCAGAGGTCTCCTAGAGACATGAGGATCTTTTACGTGCCGTAAATCTACGACACGGGACCCACGGCTTAAAGTCCCTCCCGGAGGACTTGTTCCCTGAATTTTTCTGCCCTTAAAAGTTCCACGACCTCCGCCGGGTTTGAACCCGCATACCTTGAGTCATGAAGTGGGAACGTTACCCCTAGACTACGGAGGCCGCTTAGGGTGCATACCATATCAGTATCAAGTTCTTCATAAGATTCCATGGAACAGTTTCCCGTGTAGTCAAACACTAATCACAGATTGTGTTTCTAAAGATATATTGATAGATTTTATTTCATTAAACAGTATTATGTACACTATACAGAGAGAAACTTTACTTTGCTTTCATGCCAATATGCGACCTGTGTTAGTATAGTATTTACACAGACTATACATACTTTCCAGATCAATTTAAAAATGGTGGTATGTATTCATTCAGAGTCTGAACATGATAAAATGTATGCCATAACCACATTTCTCATCGTATTTGCTGGTAGTGCCTTCAGTAGACCCATCAGATTTTACATAGAGCATGAAAACTTGAGTTACCTTACATTTTATCACTGAAATGTTTAGTTTAAATTGAAGAAACTTGCAATGATTTTCAGTTTCGAAATTAAGGTGTTAAAAAAGCATGCATCTTTTTGGAGTGCTTGACATTTAGTAAGTTTTTACTGTATTTTTCAGGACAGTTCTATACAGCTATTGCATGTTATTGTTTAAAAATATTTATGTTTCATGAAACAGATAAAAATTCTGTTGCTTATGTTTACTGAGTGATAGGGCCACAACTCAAATATTAAATACAAGCTGCGCATTACCGTGTCTTGTCAACCATTCATGATTTTCTATTAATATTAATGCCAAATTACAGGATGGGCCAATGATTAATACTGAACACCAGCAGAAGGTCACAGTTGTCAATTAGGTGACATTTTTGTCAAAAGAAAATAGTTTGATCACTTCTGAGCATTCGTATTGGCTGCATTGTTTAAAGAATTATTATACATAGCAAATACATCATTCTGCTCTGCTTCATTTTGGAATCAGAAAGTACTGACAGTGACAGACAGATGTCAGTAACAACAGAGTCTGTGATTGTGATTTTCTACTTTCCTTGCATAGGTTTGTATAAATCTATTAAAGAAAAGTTTCTGGTATTTGTGACGGTAAGCAAGTTGAAGAAGTCTCCTGTTTTTGGACAATAGAGAAGACCTATAAGGGTCACTGTATTCTCTCAGTTGGTAATATGTGGCTCAAAGGATTTCACCAGATTTCTACAAAGCATGAATACAAATGGGTATTGTTTCTCATTTATAACACTAGCAATATGCAACTTAAACAGTGTCAGTACAGTTCTTATGTGGAAGGGTTAAAAATGACCCATTATCATCTGCTTTTACTTGGAGGGGTATTATCTGTAAGTTGTGCAGTGTTTTATAAAAAGGCGTTTAGCCCATCCCCTAACACCAGTTTTGTATTGAGGTTGCACTCTAATTTTAAATTCATTCATTCATCTGTAATCTGTCAAGACGACAGGTCCACAGTCTCTTCCAAAACAGTTCCTCCACTTAATGCGATCTAGAGCTTTCTCCTTCAAATGAAAATATCCTCTTCTGTCCCCAAGGTCATCCAGCATCTTCTTACGTCTTCTTCCTCGTCTTCTGGTCACTTCTATCCACCCCTCTATCTTTCCTTCAGTAACTTCTTTTAGAAGGCAGTTACCGCGTAAGATATGACCAATCCAATTAGCCTTCTGTTTTCTTATTTCGTGTAGGATATTCCTCTTCTCACTGACTCTAATTAACACTTCTTCATTTCTCACATAATCGGTCCAACTGATCTTCTCCATCCTTCTCCAACACCACATTTCGAAGCTTTCCAGGTGTTTCTGATCTACTGCCCTAAGTGTCCAAGTTTCAGCCCCATACAGAGCTATGCTCCAAATGTAGCATTTCACTAGTTTCTTTCTCAAATTTAAGTCCAATTTATAAGTCTTTAATTTCTTAAAGGATAAGAGAGAGTGTTGAAATTCTGCCTCTAGCACATAAGATTCAAATGTTAATTTCATCCATCTTACTACACTGATAGAAGGATAGTGACAACTTTTTCTTTCCATCAGGCCTAAATTTGCTTTGTTGGATGAATGCACCAGTGCAGTCAGCATTGATGTAGAGAGCAATATCTATCAGGAAGCAAAAGTAGCTGGCATCACGCTTCTCACCATTACGCACAGACCATCCCTGTGGTGAGTATGTCATGTGGAAATTGTGAAGTTTGTGTTACAATTGTAAACTTCTCTCATTTATACTGTTATTCAGGGGGCACTATGCTACAAGCCAGAAGGTTGACAGTGCAAGTCAGTCTGTCCCTATATTATACGTTGTGCGTTCAAGTTCTAAGGTCTCCGATTTTTTTTTCTCACACAATAACCATACAAACAATTTGAAACGTCTGTCACTTTTCAACGTAATCTCCCTGCAGCCATACACATTTTTCACAACGTCGACACCTTGATTCCATGGCCGCTATGAACGCTTCTGTAGAAGTCTGTTTTGACCACTGGAAAATCGCGCTTTGTTTCAGGATTGAAAAACGGCATCCATGTCTCATCCATTGTCACAACTGATGAAAACAAAGTCCCATTCATGCCTTCATCACGTGTCAACATCGCCTGGCAAATTGCCATGCACAGCCTTGTGGTTGTCCACCAGCATTTGTGGCACCCACCTGGAGGACATTCGCAGGTCTTCATGCAGGATTGTGTGCACAGATCCCACGGAAATGCCAACTTTGGAGGCAATGTTTTCCACACTCAATCGGCGATCCTCCAAAACAACTTTCTCAACTCGGTCGAACATGTTGTCAGACCAGCTGGTGCAAGGCCGAGATTGTTTTGATTCGTTGTCACACGACATTTGGCCTTCTTTGAACTGTCACACCCACAAACGTACATTTTTCACATTCATGACACCATCACCACATGTCTCACTCAACTGGCGATGAATTTCAATGCGTGTCACGTCACGCAAGTGGAGAAAACGAATAATTACTCGCTGTTATTGTAACGAAAACGTCGCCGTTTTAAGTATCAAAAACACTGCTCACTCTCACCGCCACCACTAGAGTTCTGTGTGCTGTACAGTGCTGCCATCTCTGTCACGCATTCACAAAGAGTGCACACGTATTTTAAACTAAACCGCATGTGTCTATCTGCTCCCAGTCCTGAGAAAAAAAATCGGAGACCTTAGAACTTGAACGCCCCTCGTATAACAGGAAACTCAGACTGGAGCCAGTTGTAGATCATTTCAGATCAGAAGAGACACTTAGTCCAGTCAGAATTGAGTCAGAAATCAAATCAGATTTATTGTGATTATGAGTGATTGCACAAAGAGTGATCAATAAATTCAGTTACCAATCCAAACACCGTCTTATAAGTCACCCATACACTTAACAGTATATTCCTCTAATTTTCTTGGGCTTCATTTCTATAAACTTCCTAGTCATAATTGAGTTTGTCATGTGAATTGCAGAATTACTTAATTCATTTCATCTTGTCTTCAGGCCACATATCCTCTATCCTGTTGGTAGCATAGCATGCTAATTGTTTATATTTTGTATGTGCAGGAAGTTTCATACACATCTCCTGCAGTTTGATGGAGAGGGTGGTTGGAAGCTGGAGTCACTGGACTCAACAGCTCGTCTCTCTCTGAAAGAAGAGAAAGAGAAACTGGAAGCTCAACTTGCAGGTGTTCCAGATGCTCAGGAAAGACTCAAGGTCAGTGATCTGATATGAAAAAATAAATTGAACTTTCTGACAGTTCTGACACGTATTTTATGGTCATTAATTTTTAGCATGATGATTATTAAATGGGACCACCTCTGTGGTGTAGTGGTCAGAGTTCCTGGCTACAGATCCAGAGCTCCTGGGTTTGATTCCTGGCGCTACCAGATTTTCTAGAAGTAGTGGGTCTGGAACGGGGTCTACTCAGCCTTGTGAGGATAATTGAGGAGCTATTTCAAGGAAATAACAGCTCTGGTCTAGAAAAACCAAGATTAATGGCCGTGGGATCCGTTACACTGACCATGTGACAACCTCTATCTGCTAAAGTTGGCACTAACTTCGCCAACAAGCAGCAGTTGCCCGTTTGGTATAGTTCGTTCCGGACTAAAACCACGGAGTTTGTTTGTTTTTTGATTATTAAATGGAGAGGTTTATAATGGTATAAGTTTAAGAAATCTCATAGCAATGGCTTGGTTATACAGGGTGAAGTGAAATTTTTACACAGGCTGTCCATAATGTGAAGTGTTAAAAATGAAGTGAAAATATTATGTAACAGGTGTTCTGAGATGCTTGGTTTTTGAGATACATGTCATCAGATGGAGTAACAAACTTCTCAGCAGTGTTATTTCTAATGACAACACATAACACATTGTTAGGTGTACTCATGATACACAATGCACAGCTGGGGTCACTTGTGTTTGAATGATCATACAGTATGCACATGAAGCTGTCCTTGAAAAGCCAATGGTTGTTCAACCACTCAAGAAATCCTCAGCATTTTATGGTACCCAAAGGTTCATTACCATGTTCACAAGATCCTACCATTGGTCCCTATCCTGAGCCAGATGAATCTAGTCAGCATCCTCACATCCCCATTCTCTAATGTCCATTTTAATATTATTCTCTTGTATGGCATGACATTAATTTCTTGGTGCTGTTCGTTGCTTCCAGTCACTTGTCCAATTTAACCTTTATGAGAGCAGCATTAATTATGTTGTAGCATACTTAACTTTGCAATACCACAGGAAACTGTAAACTGTTTAAAATTTCTTTTGGTATACTAGACTGAATGCATGAGAACTCCCTATGACAACGGCGAGTGACTGTTTCATTTATCGAACAGGACAGTGATAAACTAACAAAGGAATGCATTATTATTAATGTCAATATAATACACCATTGTCATTTGATTTGCTTTTATTGTCACCTTGTAAAAGAAACAACCATATCAAAGTCAAGCATGAAAAACAAATGGAAAATTTGCATTTCATAGAAGGGGTGATGACATTGGAAGTAACGGCCCATATGCTTCCACACTCTTTACTTAAATTCAGGCAGTCCACAGACACAGAAGACTCAGATTTCCCTTTTGGGGTAATGACATCACACCACGTTGCAGTAGGCTGGCTTACTGACATTTCAGAGAATTTAAGAGATCATTACCTGAAGATGAAGATGCAAGCCAGGCAGTATGCTGGACACTTAGCAGACAGTAAGGGTAAAGGTAAAGCTGTCCCTGTAATAGGCTTTGGAGGCCCACAGGGTTGTGAGACATCGAGGCTCTCACATTTTCTAGACAGTTGGCAGTGAGGTTGTCAGCCTTAACGTGCCAGCCAACCTTTACCCCCACCAGGAAGATTCTTGGTACTCATTTCTGGTAGAGGGTGAGTCAACCCTCAGGGCCATATTGCAGCTGGAAGGATTAGATCAGTTGAAAAAATACAATGACCTCATCAGGAATTGAACTCATGACCTTCCAGCTTGTAGCATAGTGCCTCAACTAAATATGCTATTGCATTCCGCTTAGAAGACAGTGAATAATATATGTTTCTGGCTTGTCCTCAAAGCTATCTGTTGGCATTCACCAATACGCAACACAAAAAGAGTGAAATCCCTAATTAGACCATAGTCTTCTTGACTTTTATGGGTATCTGTACCAATGTATTGGGAATGCTTGGTGTAGTTGAATTTGAGATTCTCACAGTTGTGACTGTGTTCTGAGATTTGACATTGTACAGTCTGATAAAAGTTCAAGAGACATTTCAGAGAAACATAACTGCGTCCATATTCAGAGTCACAGTGGTTTGGCTTGTCACTTGTTTGACCCTGAAGATGGAGGCAGTATGTTCCTTCAAAATGGTAGTGAACTTATGCCAGACTACATGGTTTCACATCCCAGAACACGGTATTCTGCTTAGTACAGTGCTAACACTAAGTGGAAACTATGATCCTAGATATTCAGTGCATTTTTATATAAGAGTAACATTATTCCCAAAAAATAACTGATTTCAGGAGCTGTGCAAGGTGTTGGGTGAAGACACGTCTTCCATTCCTGTGGAAACTACAGATTGAGCACAAGTCCATAATTTCTGTATGATAAGATTACTCCACAAGACTACCAAATCTTTTTACACTGGTACCTTCCAATTTTAAGAATAATATAAACATTATTCTGTACAACAATTCAAGTTGAAAGTAGTTTTATTGAGGACGCTTCTTTTATCTTTGTCATTTCTCTTTCGAATCTTCAGACTTCTTTTATATCTATGAAACTAAGTAGAATCTATTTAAGGCCTGTATAGTATATTATCGTATCATCAGGTGAAGAGTGCATGGCACTCTCAAAGTTCGAAATATTATATTTAACTATTATTATAATATAAGAATATCCCTTAGATGTATATGTTTGGAAAGGTATACTCATGCTCACTGTAGCATTTCTTGAAAATCTATTGAAAATTTTTCTCAAATATTACGTATTACAGGGTTTATATCAGAACATTTTTATTCATAATTATACATCATATAAATTATATGGAAATTTTTGATGTTCATATTTGTTTATGTGAATCATGACCAGTGCTTTCAGTAGTAGTATTACGATTTTGTTGTGCTGCAGTTTATTCTGTTTTCTTATATCATAGTGCAGAGCATTTTGATTTTTTATTTTCTTCCTAAAGCAAAAGTGAAACTTAGTATGTTTAGAAAACTAAGAACAAGGCAGTACATATAAGATTTGAGGTTCTGACAGCGGTGGTTGTGAAGAGTTCTTATGCTGTGTAGTCTATTGAAAGTCAACCAACATTTCTGAGGAACATGTCACCTTGCTGCTCACCACATGCTTTCACGCTCGTTTCTTGTTCAGCTTGCTCTTTGACCCTGAAGATGGAGACAACATGTTTCTCCAAATTGTTGGTTGACTTTCATGGACTGTATGGCGCTGTATCCAAGAAGATAAAACTCTCAAGGCACAGCCACATTACTCGTGCTTTTAAATCTTTGTCTACACTACTTCAGTTGCTTGCCAGGCTTCGGCGCGTGAGGAACCGTATATTTACTCATAGTGTGTATAGGCTGTAGTCGTATTTTAATTTATTGGCTATAGTTTTTAAATTAAAAATTTGCTTGTCTCGTGACTTGTCATATTGTCCACATTACTCGCGAGCATAGCGAGTTGCATGAGCATGAGTAATGTGGCTGTGCCTTTAAAGACAGCATGTCTCTGAATTGAAACAAAGAGGACAGGCTCATATTTAAATACACATGCTCTGTTATTTTATTTAACAAGGCCAGATAAACCCATACAAAGAACAAAATGGTTATTTAGCTCTACAGGGACAGTAAAGTATGCTGCATCAGAATTAAGGAATGAAAGGAATTGCCTCTTAAGTATATATAATAAATATTGTTCTTCTATAGAAATTAAAGTTCTGTAACTTTTGCTTGTGTATGAAGCAGGTTCTTCACACAATACATAACGAAAGAGAACTGTAGCACAGAATTTTTGTATTAGGGAATACAATTTTGATGAGGATCTGAAGAAACATTAATAGAAAAATGGGAGGATTCTGGCTTTTTTAAACCATTTTCTGTAGTGGTAGTACACAGGAGACAAAACATTTGGTTTTCTTGATTTCACTTTCATGGTCACATTGAGATTGATTGTGCCACTGATGTGCTTCCTAGATCAGTTGTACCAAGGAGTAACTAATGATCATTCCTTTTGTTACTGCTTTGTTCTCCAGAAAGTAAATATATTAGCAGCCAAATTGAAATTACTGTCTCATTTTGAGAATTTCAGCTCTCTTCAATTTGTACTTATGCAAATACAGTGACACCATAGTTGAATGAGTATAGCTTATGACAGAGACTTCATTATAGTAACAAAACAATTGGACCTATCAGTTTCATAATGTTTGCATGAAATGAAGGCCTTTTTTCAGACATGTTCATCATAATGAGTGATTCCAAGCTAGCTGCCACAGTTTTTGAATAACTTCTTGCACCAACTGTACTTGAAGTCCTGCTTCTGGTTAGCTGCCTGTAAAGGTCCTGTCCCATTAACTCACACCCTCTGCCCTACTTTTTTTGGCAGAAAATCTGCATTCTAGAATCTGTGAGCAGCCTACCCCTCCATGTCTTATTAAGCACTGAGAAATGTACATCACTGCACTGTACAGTGTCTTCCCTTCTTTGTCATAGTTCTTCCTCTTCCTTTGGCCTAAGTAGGATGATATCACAGAATACAACTGTGCAGGTGCATGTTTAAGGGTTTGTCCCCTGAGGAGCTTGGACCTCAATATGAAATTTGAAGTATGAGTAATGTGTGTGTGTGTGTGTGAAGCGAGCAGCTTGTAAAAAGCAGAATGTGAAGGTGGGATGGATTAATTTCTTTGATATTGGTTATGACGTTGAAGAGCAAAGACAAAATACAGTATATATGAGGTGTATCGGACTAGGTCAAAAAAGAAATGCTGGCTTAACTTAACCTTTAAGTGCTGAAGTGCCCCGTTTGTGCCAGTGGTGAGTAAGGTTGTCGTGGCCAAAGTACCCCGTTTTGGCCAGTCGGGCATTTAAACTCCGCTAGGGGAAGCGCGTGCACACGCCGCTAGTAGAAGCGAATGCACAGTCCTGAATATTTATTTTTAAATGTAGTAATTACCAGACAGACTTGAGTAAAGCCCTAATAGAAAAATTAAAATGATACCTAGGTGAACAACAACAAAAAGAGTATACGTATGAGTTATGCCCAAACACATCCACGAGCCAGTACTTTTATTGCAGATTCTGCAGATTAATGTGTTAAAAATATACAGTAAAATTCGATGTACATACCTTTTTTGTTGTTATCTGCTTGATGTATATCTAGGCTGAAATAAAACTACAGTATTCGATTTCACTAAGCACGCACAGAAAACAGACCGCACTCTGAATCTCAGCCGCGATGCAGCTGTCTGTTCAGGCCCATAGAAAGGGCAATAAGCTTTTGCAGCTATAACGGAAGGTCTTAGAACTGAAGAAGGGACCCCTCTAGCTTTCTCTTGAATAGCCATTCTTTCATTCTTCTGACCTTCAGTCAAAAGATTCGAAAATCCGAAGAGTGTAAGCAGTGCTAGCAGAAGGCCAAATGATTTTATTGCTTCCATCTGTTTTATGACATCAGGGACTGCTAAAATTTGTCAAGTGTTACAAACAGAAATGAATTTGTAATGCAGAACAACTCTGTGAAGAACTGGGAAATCATTTTTGCAGTACTCATCAAAATTTAAAAGAAAAAATTGAAAATGGAGTATAATTTGTATAAAAAATTTCAAATCTTCCGTTATAATATGCGACACTATGTTCTTTGCTGATACAAACAAAATTAATTCCATCCATTTATCATAAAAATTGAGTTAGATACAGCATTTTTAAACACAATGCTTAAAATTGTTTAGGCGCACTAACAGAAACGGACATTTAAACGCAGAGTACCAACGGGCATTTAAATAAACTCCGGCCAGCTCAAGCTTACCACTATTTCAGAAGTCTGGCGTTTAAAGGTTAATTTTGGCAAGTCTCCTTAGGAATGTATACGATGAGTCCATTGTTTTTTCCACGGTTCAAAAGCACCATGGAAGTCATTTTCCGTAATGCTGTCGAGTACCACTTGCGATTCCCTTTGGGTGTCAAACGCTGTTTCAAAACACCATCCCTTCAGTTTCATTTTCAGTTTGTGGGGGGGGGATTGAAATCATAGGGGGCTAAGTCCAGCGAGTAGGGAGGATGGGGAATGATAACCATGTTGTTGTTAGTCACAAACTCTGTGGCTTTCAGGGACATGTGGGCAGTCATGATGAAGGAGCAATGCGGTGCATATTCAAATTCTGTTATGATCTTGCAAACTCCATAACGGATCCCAGCAGTGTCTGTGAGCTCGTGGATTGTTTGGCAACCGTCTTCGTGGATGAGTTCTTGAAAACCACTGTCTGGCTTAAAGAATGTTCTCCAAAAGTCTCACAAAGCACTGGTTTCAGTAGTGGATTTACCGAGCTTCACAGGAAACTTGATGCAGACATGTTGTTCAGTTTTGCCACCCATTGCAGACAAAACGAAACACAAAGTCGAAAAAGCACTCATGTAAAAACAATGTGTGTTCATAGCATGGTGTCACAAGGTAGACATGCAGTAGGCTTGCAGAAGTGTGACCTTGGCCTCCCTTCTCATCTTTCACTAACGCAGTTACAACAAGAAGTCGAGAACTTTCGATACCACCTCGTATTTGTTTTTCTTAATTTTTGGTAAATAATCTATCCATTATTGTCTGTACAAGTCATATTTCAGTAGTTGCAAGACTTAATATCCCATCTTTAATACTTGCTATAGCTAGAAATCATATTTTAATTTTATTCATTCCTGTCACGCTTCTGCAGTTAACTGCATATAAGCTACTATTCTTTAAAGACTGTTGTTTGAAGAAGTGTGTAGCCTATGTGGGTAGGTAACAAATTTACGAGAAAACAATCTTAAATTGCTTTTAGTGAAGAATGGCAGTTATGGGGTTTCATATTTTGCCAGTAACAGGCATGCATACTGTTCAAGTTCATAACAAAGCTTTCATGACTCATCAGGCAGAAAGCTCTACAGCTACACTGAACATTTTTAGTTATAACTACAAAATGAAATGTTAATGTCTGGCTGTCTCTGATATTTGATCTCTATTTTGGAATATACTGAAATGTCAGTATATAAATATATCAGTCATAACTGACGTTCAGATGTATATGGTGTTGTAAGTAAAGTATATTTACAATCCATTATAAAATGTGGTTGACACAGAAATGCTATTTCATTGCCATGAAATACTTTAAAAATAATTATACATTTTGTTTTAACTTTCATTTGCAGCTCTATATATTATAATCATGATTTGGAAAAGACTGAAGTATTGGTTCAGTTCATGAAAATTATGTGGTTTTTCCCAATTTTTGTTAATGAGTACCTGGATAATTAAAATATCAGCTCTCTTTAGGTTCAGTTCACATGTATTTATGTGCTTTCTTTGATAGAAATATATATGTTGGAGATATGAATGGCATAACTGTAAAGTTGTTTTATGTCATGTGATTAATTTACAAAATGTATGCAGTTTGCTTTTCTTGCTGTAAGGCATTGTTCTTGGAGTACATCAGTTTCTTATGAATGTTTATGAAGAAATTAATGTACTATAAAATTAACTCAAGTGAAAAATATGTTCCTTGACATAGGTGACCAACTTAAGTACCAGTGTTCACTGTTTTTTACATGATGTACTTTCATATACATACTGACCTGTAGGATCTTGGTATGTATTGCACAGTGGTTTCAAATTGTCTCCTGGTGGGAAACCAAAGTTTTAACAACAAAAGTATTGGGTGAACATTTTTCTTATTTTGTAACTTGATTAATATACTGTTAAAAATTGTTCATAGTACATATTTATATCTATTCTCATAATGCCAGTAAGGTTATGAAATGCATATGTCCTGATAACGGTGATATTGAATGCTCATCTAAAATTAAATTATCTCTTGAGTTTGCAATAACATGAGCTGCTTAGTTGTCTTAACCTCATGTAACTTCACATCCAGTTACAAGTAAGTTACTTAAGTAATTATCAAGTCAGAAACTAGTGCAGTGAACATCCATTTAAGGTTTCTTTTTGGAGCAGTGGATTTAAACACTAAACAATGAAGAATCTAAAAAATGGAGGTAATTTAACACTGAGGTTATGGACTTAGGACCATTGAATTTGAACATTTAATGAGGGAAACCCTTAAATTGAGAACATTAAATGGAGGTTCATTGTATATCGGTAAGATATAGCTACACTGGCTCTATGAATATAGCCTTTTCCCCACCATTCCAATTCTTTTCTTAAATATACAGTTCCTAGTATCTTTAATTCTTAGATGTTCTAGGTCTGTGGTTCTCAGCCTATGAATTATTACCCAAAATGGGTTCATAGAAAACCTTCCAATGGGTCATAAATGTTTTACC